GCAAATACTGAAGAAAGAAATACGGATCGGAACAATCGGCACAGACCTACGCGACGAAATAAGGACTACGATTGGAAACTCGGAACATGGAACTGCAAATCGCTCGGCTTCCCGGGTTGCGATAGGTTAATCTATGACGAACTTCAACCACGCAACTTCGAAGTCGTAGCACTGCAGGAACTTTGCTGGACGGGACAAAAGGTATGGAAATGCAGGCATCGAGCGGCTACTTTCTACCAGAGCTGTGGCACCACCAACGAGCTGGGAACCGGCTTTGTAGTGCTGGGTAAGATGCGCCAACGCGTGCTTGGTTGGCAGCCGATCAACGCGAGGATGTGCAAGTTGAGGATTGAGGGCCGTTTCTTCAACTACAGTATCATCAACGTGCACTGCCCACACGAAGGGAGACCCGACGACGAGAAAGAAGCGTTCTGCGCAGCTGGAGCAAGTGTACGACGGCTGTTCGCAACGGGACGTCAAAATCGTCATCGGCGACATGAACGCTCAGGTAGAACGGGAGGCAATGTATAGACCGGCAATCGGGCCAAACAGCCTGCATGCCGTATCGAACGACAACGGCCAACGATGCGTGAACTTTGCAGCCTCTCGGGGTATGGTAGTTCGAAGTACCTTTTTCCCCCGCAAGGATATCCACAAAGTCACCTGGAGATCACCTGATCAACACACAGAAAACCAAATCGATCACGTTCTAATCGACGGGAAATTCTTCTCCGACATTATCAACGTCCGCACGTACCGCAGTGCGAACATAGATTCGGACCACTACCTAGTTGCAGTATGCATGCGCTCAAAACTCTCAACGGTGCATAATACACGTCGAAGTCGAACGCCGCGACCCAACATTGAGCAACTACGGGACGCCGGAGTTGCCCAGGACTACGCGCAGCAGCTAGAAGTTGCACTACCCACGGAAGAGCAGCTTCTCTTGAAGATGGCTGGACGGACATCCGTTCAGCCATAGGTAGTACTGCTGCAGCTGCACTAGATGCTGCAATCCCGGACCGAAGAAATGGCTGGTTTGACGGCGAATGCAAATTGTTAGTAGAGGAGAAGAATGCAGCACGGGCGAGAATGCTGCAACACCGCACGAGATTGAATGTGGAGCGATACAGACAAGCGCGGAACAGACAAAACTCGGTTTTCCGAAGGAAGAAGCGTCAGCAGGAAGACCGAGATCGCGAGACGATGGAAAATCTGTACCGCGTAAACGACACACGGAAGTTCTATGAGAAGCTAAATAGTTCGCGCAAAAGCTACGTGCCGCAAGCCGATATGTGCAAGGACTTGGACGGTAACCTTCTCACGAACGAGTGTGAGGTGATTGAGAGGTGGAAGCAGTACTATGACGAGCACCTCAACGGTGAAGCAGCAGAAAACGAAGGTGGCACGGCAACAGACCTTGGAGCACGCACAGAAGACGACAGGCTACCGGCCCCTGATCTTCAAGAAGTTGAGGAGGAGATCGGTCGGCAGAAGAACAACAAAGCAACTGGTGTAGATCAACTACCAAGTGAGCTATTAAAATACGGTGGTGAAGCACTGGCTAGAGCGCTGCACTGGGTAATTGCCAAGATTTGGGAGGAGGAGATATTACCGGAGGAGTGGATAGAAGGTGTCGTATGCCCAATCTACAAAAAGGGCGACAAGTTGGATTGCTGCAACTACCGCGCGATCACACTGCTGAGCGCCGCCTACAAGGTACTCTCCCAAATTCTATGCCGCCGTCTGTCACCATTTGCAAGAGAGTTCGTGGTGCAATACCAGGCGGAATTCATGGGTGCCCACGCTACCACGGACCAAATTTTCGCGATTCGGCAGGTTCTGCAGAAATGCCGCGAATACAACGTGCCCACACATCATTTGTTCATCGATTTCAAATCCGCATACGACACAATCGATCGAGATCAGCTATGGCAGATTATGCACGAGCACGGATTTCCGGACAAACTGACGCGATTGGTCAAGGCGACGATGGATCGAGTGATGTGCGTTGTTCGAGTATCGGGGACACTCTCGAGTCCCTTTGAATCTCGAATGGGGTTACGGCAAGGTGATGGACTTTCGTGTCTGCTGTTCAACATCGCGTTAGAAGGTGTGATCAGAAGAGCTGGGATAGACACGAGTGGCACGATATTCAGGAAGTCCATCCAGCTCCTTGGCTTCGCCGATGACATTGACATTATGGCACGGAACTTTGAGATGATGGCGGAAACGTACATCAGACTGAAGGCTGAAGCTAGGCGGATTGGACTTGCCATCAACGCATTGAAAACAAAATACATGAAAGGAAGAGGTTCTAGGGAAGACAATGTTAGCCTCCCACTCCGAGTTCAGATTGACGGTGACGAAATCGAGGTGGTCGATGAGTTCGTGTATTTGGGCTCACTGGTGACTGCCGAAAATGATACCAGCAGAGAAATTCAAAGACGCATTATGGCAGGGAATCGTGCCTATTTTGGACTCCGGAGGACACTCCGGTCGAATAAAATTCGCCGCCGCACGAAGTTGACTGTCTACAAGACGCTGATTAGACCGGTGGTCCTCTACGGCCACGAGACCTGGACTATGCTCGTGGAGGACCAACGCGCCCTTGGTGTTTTCGAACGGAAGGTGTTGCGTACCATCTACGATGGAGTGCAGATGGATGACGGAACGTGGAGGAGGCGAATGAACCACGAATTGCACCAGCTGCTGGTAGAACCATCCATCGTCCACATTGCAAAAATTGGGCGACTACGGTGGGCTGGGCACGTCGTAAGAATGCCGCACGACGACCCAGTGAAAATGGTTTAAGAAAGCAACCCAACAGGAACAAGAAGAAGAGGCGCGCAGCGGGCAAGGTGGATCGACCAAGTAGAAGGTGACCTGCGGACCCTTCGCAGACTACGAGGCTGGCGAACTGTGGCCATGGATCGAGTAGAATGGAGACGACTTCTTCCGATAGCAGAGGACAACAAGGCCTTAGCCTGATTGGTAAGGTAAGTAAGAGTTGTTTTTGATAGTCTTGTTGACATTGAGCGGTCGACTGCTAAGCACTCAATTTACAGTGTACTAGTCACCTTTCGTGACACTAGTGCCGATAGTGTCGGGAAAAATCGTGTCTTGGGGATAATAGAAGAGTGAACCATATTGTTAATTTATAATATTTGCTGACACCTTGGACAGATGAACGTCTTCTCCAGTATCTTACTGAGAAGCAACACAATGTTTTCACTTACGGCACCAAATCTGAAGTCTGGTTTGGTGAAAATTAATTACTGTAAAAGTTGACTTTGGCGCACTCGAGGGCCCCCACATATGTTTGGCCCCAGGCCCCCATAAATGTAAATCCGGCCCAAAAAACGGAATACATATCGTTTGGAAAATTTCCCTTTAATCCACGTGAAATTAACCATTCGACTCAGCTCGACGATATCGGAAAACGTCTGTGTGCGTCTAACAAAATAAATGATGGTGTGTTTCTCGGCAACCACTGAACCGAATTTGACGCAATAACGAAATGAAAGGTCCTATGGTTCCATTGAACCATTTTAAATATCTGGTCATCGGTCATCTGATTCCGGAGATATGGCCGGAACAAGTTTCGAAAAACACTGTAACTAGAACATATTTCTCGGCAACAACTGGACCGCATTGGTCACAACAATCGCCAATTGAAAGGTATCATTTTTAGCGAAAATGAGTTATACATTGGAATCGACTGTCAAGTTCCTTAACTTCACAATGAACAGGAAAAGTTTTCTACTTTGTTCAGAAAATGTCGCGAAAAATACCAAAACTACGTTCTCCCTTCTATAAGAGTTCATAAAGAAAAAAATCTTCAACGGCGTTTTTCTCATCTTGCTGTTTTCACGAATGGACAACTGTGCTGAAAAGGGCAGTATATATACCTTTATTATACCTATAGACCTTTATTGAATAGTTTTGGAACCAGTAAACCTGTTCCGGGATTTGGTAAATAAGGCGTGTTTCTGGGCAATCAATAAACCTTTGTAGACGCAACAACCACCAAAGAAACCATGTTCCCATTGAACGCCCTTGAATATTTTGGAATCGATCAACTGGTTCTGGAGATATGACCGGAACATGTTTCGATGGGTTACGAGAGTGGTGGTTATCTAATACGTACCAAATTTTTCATGCGACACCTCAAGTCTCATGAGAATTGAACAACAAGTTCATTGGTGGTTATACCGAGAGCCCAGCACCACATTACTAACATCCGGCCATGTTCCGAGAACCCCCAGGGTAGTGGCCATTTTCTGACTTGACCAAACCCCATCATGAGCAGTTCCAGGCCAAATAGCGAAAAAATAACCAAATTTTACATTTTACCTCTCAGAATTTCATGAAACATTGCACAAGCTTGGTTATGGAATTCTGAGAGGTAAAATCTAAAATTGGTTTATTTTTCACTATTTGGCCTGACACTACTTAAATGCTTCCCAACTTTATTGTTAAGAAATAACTTGCACACTATTTTATCTGAGTAATCTTCAAAAAATTCAACATTTCTTCAGTTCATTTGAAAACATGTATATTTTTTATAAATATTTCCTTGATCGGTTAGAAAAATCTCTAATAAGTCCTGGATTTGATCAGAATCCACTCTGAAAATATTCCATAAAGTATTCAATTTGAACTATTCAACCTTTATTATATAATTAATAAAAATTAAGATATTTCATGGAGTATCATCCTTTCTCATGAATCGTAACGGAAACAGTTATGCAACAGTCAACCATTATTTCAGTTCAGATTTCGAGGACAAAACTGACTTGTATTAGGCCATTTTTTTTCTCAATCTCAATTATGGATCTGTAATAACCTTGACAGATATCAGCCACAGTATCTCACTTCTATCCCTTTTTCCTAATACATACATCACAGAAAACTCCTCCAGTCAACTTACTGAGCTACTTTCCACCGTTCAATCTACGCTACACAACAAAGTAAGTATCGGTGCAAGTTATACTTACATGGGGCTCATGAATCTCGTTCCACAGATCACAGTAATATACACGGCGCCATGTTGAAAATGACGCATCTATCTCCTCCTATCCACTATGGAGGAAAAGTATCTGCAAGGGGAAAAAAAGAGAACAAACAAACAGTTAGTAATCATTATTATCACAATCATCGTACACACGAACAAACGGACGTTCAGTTAGCAAGAAAGGAAAGTTATGCGATGTGGTGACCTCAAAGCGATCGTTTATCTTCCGTAGTGCTACCAAGGAAGGAGAGAAGATGGATGCTGTAAACCGGGAAAACAAAATCAGATGACGTAAAATTCATTGCTTTCGATTCAGAAGGAGTATCCACGGTCGATGAGAGTACCTCAGTAACTGAGTCGAATTCGGCTTAAAATCTCAAAAAGTTGAATGTGTGGAAAATCGACCGAAATTTCACTCATTCTAGAAGCAAAATTTTACTCATTCACTGAGTAACCCCACTTTTTGCCATGTTGAGTCAAATTCGACTCAATTTCGAGCTACACTCATTGGCCGTGTTCAGCACCGAGCAACTGTCTACCCCATCAATAGTAATGAACCGCCGCCGGGAGCGCAAAAGTTCACCAAAGTCGTCATTCTAGGCCTCCATTCTTGGTAGCCAGGAGCAAGCTAATGGAAAACTTTATATTTTGTTTTTCTCCAACTACTCTGGGGTCTCGGTTCAAAGACGACGCCGCTTGGAAGAAGAAGCAAAAAAAAGTGCACGGGAAACTTCTATCAACAAATTATACCTCGGCAAAAGGATGAAAAAAAGGGCGAGCAATTGTGTATGCATGGCCTGTCATTTGTTGTTTCCAAGGCGACACATTCCGCAATATTTTCCAGTCCCTGTGTTGTAGCATGACGTCAGTCCAAACATGCGCACTACCTTCATCGTTCAGTAAGTGCTACGGTCGCCGTCGTCGTGGTCGCGGGTCCGAATGCGGAAGGACCCTGACGTGGTGTGTGGCGGTGAGCGGCGGTATCAACGGCAGACATCGGTCTCGGCAGGACCCGTCACCGTGTCTGAAGCGAATTGGGACAATCATAATAATACAGAGCGAGCAGCAGCAGCAGAGTGCAGAGCTCGCGGCATGTTTTACTATTTCAGAGGCGGCTATTACGAGTAATCGGGAGCGCCTGGGCTGATGGTATCTGGGAAGCAATATTTCCAAAATGATGTGCCTTGTTGCTAATTAGAAGGTAGTGGAAATGTGAGTCAGGATTTTATTTTAATCAAATCAATGGACACTTTTGTCCTGCTTCTGCAGGACATAGGAAAATCGACAAATTGATGGAATTCATTTATTATAGATGTTACAAGGCAAATAACATATGTGGTCTCAATTAAAATATTACAAGCGCACGATCTGGCAGATTTCATGTAAGAGGTTGCAATTAGCTGCATGCAAGTTTTATGTATTGAAATACGATGTGGAGACGCATGGTTGACCACAGGAAAACAATTCAACGGTATCAAGGTAGTGTAGTGGAGAAACTATGACTATGAAACATTATGCTCTGAACTATGGATGATGGATCAGAATTTTAAAACATAAATAACGACTGTAGTCTATTAATAATGCTAGTCCAATGTCATAGTTTTGCTTTGGTGATTGTTTTACATTCAAGCGACGAACCCGATCTAAATAAGGGCTGGCATTTTGATGACCCTAAATCTTTTTATTTATTTATCTAGTCAACTGACGTAGACTAGTACAAACACACAAACAATTTTTTTTAAATATATAAAAAAAACATCTTTGAAGAAATGTAAAAAGTACAATTTTGTCTTAATAGTACGAGAAATGAAGAATTATATAAAAATTAAGCAGTGTCTGCTTTCCTTTTTCTTCTTCTTGTGAGTTATGACTCCGTATGGAGTTAAAATACTGTTTTAGTTTATGTCGAGACATTGCAGAGTCAATGGTTTCGCAGTATTGATTATAACAGACCATCATGCGATTTAGTGGCTCATATTTGCATAATTCGTGCGATGGTGGTTTGGCAAATAAATTTCGATTTCGCAGTTGCCGAGTAGGTGCATAGAAATGCGCTGCGAAACGATATCGTTTACAAATGAAACCATAGCATATTCACGACGCTATTTTAATGTTAATACAAGAGGAAATGAAGACCAACCTTATTTACGAAGGGTGTATAATAGAAATTGTTTTTGTACTGATTCTAATCTTTCTTCGTGCGTGATTGAAAAATGAGACCATATAATGCTTCAATATTCCAGTGTTGACTAGACATTAGACTGATGCAAAATTTGAAATTTTCCCTCCACAGAGCTCAAACGGTTCCAAATTGGGCCCTGATTAGCCTCCCAAAATTTGAACTCATTTAGTAAGAAACTGACTTGGCACAAACCATTTGAAGTTTATATGGGAATTACTATGGAGAAACCATAAATTCAGTTCAATTCTACCTCAAAATTAGCCACTTTACTCTACTTTATAAAATGATAGCTGAGCTTGTTGAAAATGTTTTCAGCTACAACTTTGTTGAAGACCACTTTTCGATCAAATGTAAGAAACAACAATTATTACGATTCAAGTTACTGGTGTCTTATGATTATGCTCAATCAACTGTTCAGCAGGCAACATTGGTGTTTATGGCGCGTAGAATAGAGGACAAAAATCATGGCTACTATGTCACACTGCAGAATACAGTGTTGCCCACAATACAGTTGCTTAATCTTGCCATAAGATTATCAATCTCTTAAACAATTAATAACTATTTAATTTGACGTTTGGCTGAAAAACGATTTTCTGCAAAGTTGTAGCTGATAAAAATTCCCATAAGAATAGCAATAGAATTTGTTAACAGTACAATATGTAAAAAGGCTAGAAGACAATGAACAAAAAGTTTTGTTTTCCCATAGTAATTTTCATATAAACTTCAAATGGTTTGTGCCAAGTCAGTTTCTTATCAAATGAGTTTAAACTTTCGGAGGCTAATCATGACCCGATTTGAAACCGTTTGAACATTGTGGAGCGAAATTTTCAAATTTTGCATCAGTTCACTAGGCATAGGCAATATATTAAGTTTTAATTGTGTATGGGTCCTGAAACTTATAGCAAAACCGCTTGATAAAGTCTAGCATGTTGTTTTCCCTGTGAATAATTGTGTTGTTATTGGCTATGAAAGTTAGTTTGGAGTCTAAGATAATTCCTAGATCCAACATCCTACACTTCCAAAAGCAATTGAAATGTTTGATGTTGTTCTTTTCCTGCTAAATGATATTAAGTTACATTAGGATTACGTCTTTCGGCAACATATTGAGGGTACAATTTCAAAAAACCAAAATCGACCGCGTTACGAAAAGTGGTTAGGATTTGACCACTTATAACTCAGTCAATAATGGATGGATTTTAATTCTAAACAAGCCAATCGATTGGAAATCTTTCTACAAATCTGCTAAAATGAATACTTTATCAATTTTCAATAGGTCACTATTGGAAATTACACAAATGTCAAACTGTTGCAATGGTGATAAAAATTATCACCTAATGCCTGCAAAAGGCGCTTTCCCTAACACAGATTTCAAAATCGAATTCTATCCTCGTCCAAACAACATAAAGATCACCAGCCTCATCTATGTTGAACACTCTAAAAGTTCAGCATTACTCAACCGTCACGACAAAACGGTCCTTTTTACGACCACCATAATTTTGTTAAAGAGTATTTTCTGGACATTTGTCAAGGTCATCAATCGGATGGTAGTTCCCATAAGTTTAAATCTGAAAAAATTGACGCTATTAAAGTGGTCTGATTTTGAACCAGAGATGATGAATTTTACTTCCTAATACCCCAATCGAAATTTTTCTACGAATCGGTTAAAATTAAGACATTATAAATTTTCAAAAGGTCACTATTGAAAATTGCACGAATGTGTAACTGCTGCTATGATAGTTAAAATTATCACTGATGGCTTGCGAAAAACGCTTTCCCTTACACAGATTTCAAAATCGAATTCCATCCGGTCTCGCCGAACGGTGTTTATACAAATGTGGTCAAATGCGTAACAGTATTGAAGTGGTACATAAAAATTCTCGCAATGACCGAATACAGCATGACTTAGTCAATTAACCGGAAACACTTCGAATTAAGGTAAGGTTTTCTCAAGGACGGTAGAAAAAACCAAAAAAAAGTCTCGATTTATATGATTGATCGCGAATATCTCGCAATATTTTTGCAAGAAATTCTCTCAATGAATGGTTTTTTTTATTATCTATTGAATAAACCAAAAATTCCATGCGTTTTGTGCTTGAAAAAAAACGTAATTTTATCATCAGAAAACGAAGCGTTTCCGTGATGGGAAAAAGTGGTTTCCCTAACACAGTCGCCGAATATTGATACCGAGCACGTAATCCGACGTCAAACCTACTTACTTTTTACATTCAATTCTAGTAGTCTTTTTTACACCATATGTAGAATATGTGTATTTTATTGCGGAATATATCGATGTCTTCTTGATTTCTTACTTTCAAAAAGAGCTTCATCTCGTTGACATAGATCAGCAAATTTTAATTGTTTGAGAATGAAAGATATGTCGATTACGTATAGAATATGCGTCAACTTTTCTTCTTGTTTGGCAACCCGGTTAATTTAACAGTTCAATTCAAGACTCATGCATTTTTTTTTATATTGAACAAGGGAAATTCGATGAATCCTAATCAAGACTACGATATTTTTGGCGAGATTGACCATGAGTGGTCTAAGTTATCCGTCAGAGAACAACAAAAAAAAATACAAGGGACAGCCCGATGGGGTTGTACGGAATGGTGACGTAGGACTACGTGGTCTTATATAATAAATCTTATTTGTTAACTGCAGCAGGAGCTTGTGTTTTGTGTATGAATAGGAATTTGAGTGGAGTTCTCTCTGTTTATACTCTTTAGTATGACGCGCTTGAAATAGATGGCCCACAACGACTCACGAAAAACTACTGATTCCGATCAATAGCCGTGCCGGTTCTTCCTCTTTCTACGGATGCTCATGTGAGCTGCTAACTGCTTTCAGGCAGCCTTTCGTTGTGACTGGAGAACACCACCACCACTCATCATGCGGTGATTGAA